GAGGAACCAACTCACTATTCTGTACCGGATTTACTCCGGTAGTGGAGGTTTTGTTCTTAGGGCCTCAATCTGTCGACTCCGGTGGAGGTTAGTCGCCCGCTAGAGATTCAGATTGAGAGGGTCTGAAGACCTTTAGTCGAGACTTCAGGCTGTTTAAGAACCTTCCGCAGTATAATCTTCATAGAAACTGAACTTGGTAATTACAATCCGGCTTAACTGCAGTCTAGGGGGAACCATATCCGGGTGACCTCTTTAACCTGAATACAACCAGTTTACTTGCTTTGTTTGTTTGGTAGTTTAGACTTGCACTCCAGTTTTATTGCTAGATAACAAGAATTCACTGAGTAGTCATCAGATCTAGGACCCGGGTTGATAATTAAACCTAAACCCGCTATACTACGCTTTAGGAAGTGGTTACACTTGGCCAATTTCTGGAGTGACAGTAGAGTTAAGTCAAGTTTTTGGCGCCGTTGCCGGGGACGGCTAGGTTGTTGAAGAAAAGTGATTTCTGTTAATTTAGTTTTTTTTTTGCTTTGTTTGCTTTGTCCCACTTGTGCCTTCACGGGTTTGCTTGCTTGAGCGTGTGCAGGTAGTGCATGACCCGTAGCCAGTCAGGAGGTTTACTGCCGTTGAATCCAGAGATTGACCGCACCTGTCGCCAGCTCAGGAGACAACAGCGAGCTAGACTGGCTACGGAAGAGCGCATAGACGGCCACCTGAGTAGCGATTCTGAAGAAGAGCACGGGATGGACGAAGACTACAACCAACACCAGGGGAATCCACAGCAGGTTCCCCCGGTGAATCAGGGCAAGTATGGTTAAATATCGACTCGGGCCGGTCCATGTACCCCTACTTCAATTGTTTGAAACATTATCTAGCAAATCGGTTTTGGTTGAAAATTTTGCTAATTAAAGTAGAACAAGGCAAAAGTAAATGGTTTTGAAATCTCTTTGTGAGAAGGATCACTCGGGTGTCACTTCCCCCTAACTACTACCATGGCATGTGAATCGAAGTGATTGATATGGTCAAGTTGACCACGAACCGCTAGGAAACGCAACAATGTTCGTAGACCACACTCTTGATTTCCAAACCAAAGGATACATTATAGGCTACTCAAGAAGCCCTCTTGGTTAAGGCAATCGATGGTTGACTTGCTCTCTCACTCAACCCAAGGGTTGGTCGGCTTAATCAGGTTTAACCAAATTGCTTAATTCAACTTAGAGGTTTGCCCTACATTAACCTTGATTGGTGACTTAAAAAGCCCAAGGAATTCCAACTCAATTGAGCCTCCCTTGAAAGGGGGTTTTCCCTCTAATCTAGGTTAGAATGGCCAATTAGATTTCCAATCACAAACATGCACAATCAACATGAAAAATACCTCAATCATTGAATTAAAGAACACCCATAAACAATCATTCAAACCACACAACAACTGCGTGGTAAATAGTTAGGGTTTCACAACACCCAAGTGAAAAAGGAAATTACTCCATGCTAGAAAGGGGAAGAACACAAGAGGAAGAGGTAGAAACCATCATGGTGATGCTTCCAATCTCCTTTGGACTTGTGTTGATCTTCTCTTGGGGAGAATCTTCCAAATTCACCACTTGGAGCAAACCCTAGCCTTCTTTAATTTCTTCTTTGGTTCGTTCTTTCTCTCTCTAAAATCTGAAGAAGAAGACAATTTCTAACTCTTGGGCTCTCCCTTCTCTCTTTCTTTAAGCTCTCCTTTTAAACAGGGATCAGGCTCAGTTCACGACCTCAATTCATGGCGAGTGCCCTGGATCCCTTGATGCTCACGGACCATGCCTCCTCTTCACGGTCATAGCAGACCGTGAACTCACAAGGAAAACTGCCGGTTTTTCGCCTCTTCTCCCGGTTTTTGCTCCTTTTCGTCCAGCTTTCGACTCTGGGGCTGGTTTCACCTGTTAGATCCTGAAATGTGCTAAAACACAAAAAACCTCAAGTAAAACCACCCTTTTAGGAGCACAATTGGCACAAACGCATAAGGAAAATGGGGGTAAAGGCCTGAATCACTCTCCCACACTTAGACGTTTGCCTGTCCCCAAGCAAACTATTTCACACAAGGTAGTATTTCAACCTACAAAGCTACTTTGGGGACAACTCAAAGGGCACAAAGTGGGAATTCTCAATGGCTATTGGCAATTAATACATTGACCGTTGCAAGCAATACCGACATCCACCACAAACGACATTCGAGGCCACCAAAAGCGGGCAAACGAAAAGTTCTCACCTTGTTCATGGATCAATGCATGTCTCAACAAGACCACTTATCAACCACAACTAACCATGCATAGAATGCAAGTCCGAGGAACAAATGGAAAATCAACAAAGGTCCTCACCGGGGTATGATATGGAATGCAAAACAAGAATGAATCACTCACTCTCAAGACGAGTGGGGTCGAGAACTTTTTGGTGCAAAGGATGTGCACAATCATCAACACTCGGCCCTATCGTCTCAATACCACGGCGGTAACCTCTAAATGCTAGAGTTCACGGGATGGTTGTCAACACATGGTTGTCTAGAGGTCTTAGACACGGGTTCAAATGACTGGCAATTGTCTTGGACATGGGGAAAAGGCTTTTTGGGTGGTGGCGAACACGACATGAGGTTATAAATCTTCAACCTAAACCAAAAGGTTCTATGGTTTTGACTAAGACCCTTCTATTCAACCAAAGGCCATTAGCATTGGCCAAAAACCTTATTTCTCTCTTCCAAACTATCACCCATTGTGAACTACATTTAAGTGCTCTTCCTCGGTCTACTCTTGCTATCAAATTATGGTTTGGTAGTGAAGGAGTTCTAAAACAATGTGGGGGGTTTCAATGGCTTAAGTTCCAAGAAACCCCTACTAGAGCATACACTTTGGTGTCCCGTGACACTCTCTACTTTATTTACCCCGTTTTATTACCTCTTTTTCGATTCCTTTTTTTTTCTTTTTCACTTTCTCTTTTTTTTCTTTTTTAGGGGGGGGGGGTAGAGAGTAAAAAAACTTGCCACCTATACATTTCAGATCAATGCCAATAAACACAAGAATTTCTCACACACCGGCCACTTTGATCATGCAAACATTGCTTGGAGCCCTCAAAATTTTGAAATTTGGGAATATATCAAGGCTCCAAGCATCCATCACACTCACACAAGCATAATAGCAAACTACCCCCCCCCCCCCCATACCCCCCCCCCATACACACACACACACACTTAAACTTGACATTGCCCTCAATGGCGTAAGAAAGAGGTAGAATGATGTTATCGCTTGGGCATGGTGAGTGAAAGTTGGAATCGAATCCGGGGTAGGATATTTTGAGCTTCAAGGAGAGACAAAAAAAAACACACACAATCACAATATGACTCGCTCGAGGCAAGGTTATTACAAACACAATACGATAGTAGTGGTTTATGTCACACACACACACAATGAAGAAAAATAACAAAAATAAAAGAAACAAGTTCAGGGTTACAAGTGGAGAAGTGGGGCGAAAGGCGATCCACCCTCTGGACGAGGGGATCACCTGCTGCTGGTGGTGGTGGCTGTGCTGGGCGCTGGAGCGCTAGATGCCGGCGGCGGCCGGGTGCACGAGCAGGTGCCTGCTCTGTTGGTGGTGGGACCTTAGGGTTAGGCTCCACTAGTGGATAGCACATTTCGGGACAATCAACATTTGGGCGTGGACTAATCCTATGCCTCCATCATCCTCACTAGTGACAACTGTGATGTTACACGCCATGGTAAGAGGGATCTAAGCACACAAGAAGCAAACGATCGGCTCAAAGCTCACATTGCTACCTAGTCACCCAACCATCTATTCCAATTCACAAAACACATTGCATGGCCAATTATAGTCAACAAGTAATCGAGTCAAGACATCCATTCATTTATGCACACATGAGAACTAAACTTTTGTGCTATCCTAATGGACCTCTTAGTCATCATCATAGGATATACTTGATCACATCCAACAAATCAAGATCAATGGCAATAAACACTAGATTTCCCCACAAACTGGCCGCTTTGATCATGCAAATAATGCTTGGAGCCCTCAAAATTTTCAAATTTGGGCATACAACAAGGCTCCAAGCATAAATAACACTCACACAAGCATAATAGTAAACCCCCCCCCCCCCCCACACAAACACACTTAAGCTCGACATTGCCCTCAATGGCGAAAGATAGGGGTAGAATGATGTTACCGCTTGGGCTTGGTGAGTGAAAGTTGGAATTTTTCCGGGGTAGGAGATTTGGAGCTTCAAGGAGAGACAAAAACACACATAAACACAATACGACTTGCTCAATGCGAGGTTATTACAAACACAACACGATAGTAGTAGTTTATAGTCACACACACACAAAAGAAAGAAAAATAATAAAAACGAGTTTAGAGTTACAAGTGGAGAAGTGGGGCGAAAGAAATCGACTTTGCCACATGTCTCACTCGTCGCCTACCTCTCACGGGTGAATGGACCCTCCCTCTCATATAGAAGGAGGCCCTGCCGTCGAGCCATTAGCTCGAGGAGGACGGTCTTCCGGTCTAGGCGGGAAGTCACTCCCACAAAACTCGTCTCTAGGTGATCCACCCTTTCGACAAGGGGATCACCTTCTGGTGGTGCGGGCATTGGAGCACGGGACGCCGGTGGCGGCCGGGTGCTCGAACAGGTGGCTGCTCTGCTGACGGGACCTCGGGGTCAGGCTCCAATGGAGCCGGGTCAACTGCTGATCTGAGGACTCCTGATGGTCAGAGTCCCGCGAGGTACTGCACTCCTCGCTCTCCCTGGAGTACCAGCTTCTGGTTGTATAGGGTCTCCACTGGGAAGGGCTCCGTCCTCCCGACGATGGAGCATCGATCCAGATCCACGTTAAAGTGTCATGAAATCCTCGTAATGTGGCCCCCCATATGCATAGTGTCCACTCTGTTCCGCCCCAGACACCGGGCGAAAGTAGTGGCGATCAGTGATCCCAGATGGATCAGCTCCGCTGGACTCCTCATGGAATAGAGGGCAAGTAGCCCTCTATCGTCATCAGATGGCCTGACTGGAGGCTGGGGACAAGTGAGCGGGTGAGCAAAGTGTGGAGGATCCTCCAAGGGGTCCTCAGCTTCACCGCGTTGGTGCGGCTCCTCTCCAACACGTCTTGCTCATGCTCGGGGCAGCAGAGGGCCCAGAACGTTGACTGGTAATGGAAATCGACTGTGTACTGCCGCTCCGTCATCGTCATGTGGGTTGTGTCGAGCCCCATGGCGTGAGCAAAGGCGTCGTAGGTCAGCACTCGTGGCCCAATCGGGCTGTCCCTCTGGTAGGCGAACTTGTCGCCAAAATCCGCATGATGCACTAGGTAGCTGATGTACTCGTGATCCAAGTTGAGCATCCTGCCAAAATTGGCAAACATACACCATACGTGGAAACTGTCGACACCACTTTTTATCCTATCCATTTTCTTTGTTCTTCCTCAATTTCGCCTCTTCTACTTCATCCAAACGAAACTCCGCAAAAAAAAAAATATATATAAGAGGAAAGGTCTTCTCTGCTTCCTTTTTTCTTTGGTTCTTACAGAGAGAGAGAGAGAGAAAGAAAGAAAGAAAGACAACAAAAAGAAAACCCAGAAACCAGGAGCTCTTCTTCTTCCTCTTCTTCTTCTTTGCTTAGAAAAGAGACAAACACACCCAGAGTAGCCACCAAATAGAGACAAACAAAAGAAACTTCTTTCCACTTCTATTTTGCTTCTTAGCCGACACACAGCAGCAACAAAACCATGAAGGACAGAAAGAAGTAGCAAAAAGGCAGCAAGAAATCCATAAGAAGTTCGGTCAAAGAATGACCAGAATGATCACCATGCCACAAAGATGAGGTTGGTAATCTAAAACGCCAATCATTTATCATCACGGGTTTTATTTCTACATTACTTCAAAGCTTCATTTAATTCAATCCACACACCAAGCATAATCCTTGAGCAGAAAACATATACAAACTGATTAAAATTCAAGAAAGTATTTTAAAATACCTTTCCTTTGGCACCCCTCTAACTTCCAATAACCAAAACCCATATTTTTCCTAACCATCTAAGTAGATTTCAGATTCAATTACCATAGACCCACAAACTTCCCAAATCGAAAAACACACATTTACTACCAAGCTTCCAATTTCAAACCCACCATCAACAGAATGTCCAACCATGATTCATAGTCACATGACTTTTCAGATTCAAACTCCCATTACCATTTACCACAACCAAATTCCAAGAAGCTAAAGCCATCATACAAACACATAATTTCAGTCCCAAATAATTACCACAATCAAGAATTTTGAGCCCTAAACAGCCATCGTAAACACCAAAACATGGGTTAGCCAAATCCAAGCATAATATCCCAAAACCTTGACTACCAAGGAACAACAGAAGCTAAACGATGTTAGCATTGATAAACTACTACCCTACCCAGCACCAACACAAATCAAAAGAATTCGATTTTACCTAGAAATTTCCCAGTCCAGAACCTGCAAAAATAAGGAACGAAAAATAAGAACTATCAAGTCAGAGTACGCAAATTACAAAGGAAACAAAGGAAAGACTTCAAATTGAGTTCTTAACAAAACAAAGTTCCCTTCTTTCTTTATCATCGTCATCGTCGATGCCGGCAAAGCTGGGACTGCCGGCGACGACTCTCCTCTTCGTTCAATTTTTGACTCTGGGGCTGGTTTCACCTGTTGGATCCTGAAATGTGCTAAAACACAAGAAACCTCACGTAAAACCAACCTTTTAGGAGTACAATTGCCACAAGCGCCTAAGGAAAATGGGGGTAAAATGCGTACAATTAGGCCCAAATCAAGGATCACCTTGACTCAAACCGCGAGAAGCAGGCAACAATTCTGACGGACGCACATTCATCATTACTGAGAAAGTCCTACACACGAAGACGAGGTGAAGAGAAACCTTGGAGGATAGTATCCAAACATACAAAATCAGGTCAATAATATGAGTAGCGTTAAAGCCTCTAGAAGCTGGGGCCGAAGTCCAGTGTAGCTCAATGGGGGTTTATGGATCTGGGTTCAGAATTGCAAGCTCTGGACGATGAGGTGGAAGTATCCGCGGCTGATCCACCATAAGAATATCACCCACAACAGTAGGACTTTCTAGAGGACTTACTTGATAGCAAGAGGCTTGGAAAATCTGAACCAGAGGAAACACAAGAAAGATCACCACCAATAACCAGAGCAGACCCCAAAAAGGAGGTATAAGAAGAGATCTCATGAAAGCAAATTGACATGCGACCAAGAGTAGAGAGCAAAATAAAAAAATAAAAAAACGCACCCAATAGAAGATGGAGCAGATGTATCCGAGCAAAAAAGTGAGAATAGAGGCCATTCCAACCTAGCTCTTAGAGATTTATACCAAATGCCCGAAACGCCAATGACCACAGTGGGGAAGAAGGGTTCCGACTCGGTTGATTCCGTTTGGATTCGTACCAGATCCGTCGACTCGAATCCCATTGAAACGAGAGGATCGTCTTGAACTGCACGGAACTAAATATATAAGGTGAGAGTCCTTCTTCTAGAAACCCTTCGTTGAGCGCTTGCCACAATCGTTCCAACAAACCAAAGAGACAAGGATAAGGACTAGAAAATCCCCACCAACAGAAATCCGATCTGAATATAGGTCGCCCAATATCGCCAAAAGATTGGCACAATTAACTCATATCCGGGCGCTATATCAATGATCGAGATAAAACTGAAAGCGAATAGAATCCCTAGGAACAACGAAGGATAACTACCAGTCTGTTGCTGCTCCAAATCCCAGGAACAAACGAGAGACGCTCTCTCACTTCTTGTTTTGTTTCATTTCAATGTTTTTTATGTTGGTATTTTAATTCAGACTTGGAATTTTGGCCTCGATTTAACAGTCAAATGAGACTATCTTTTCAGAAGTTTTTTAAATGCATATAGGTTTAAAAAAAAGTGTAGCAAAATCCGATCATGGACAGGCAGTGGCGGACCCAGGAATCTCTTATAAGGGTGTCCTCTTTTAAAAATTAAATTAAATTAATAATTCATAATTAATTACCAACAGATCGCATATTCGACTTCTAACCTTGTTCCTGATGCCCCTCAAAGTTGAAAAGACTCTTTCAACACTTGTCGTGTATCCATAAAGTCAATTCTAATTAAGGATGTCACGTAATTAGTTTAATTGTTAGATTTTGAAAATAGTTGGACATAAGGAATAACATTTTTACTATTACATAGTGTTTAAAATAGAAAAACCAATGAGTTGTAATCTAATGGAGAATATGTTAAATAATAGTAGTGTATTAGATTTGAATAACATAGACTACCACATAGTTTTTCAAATTTTAGTGGTGTGACAAACTACCAACTTCTTTTTATCGATACAAAACTATTACCAGAAGTTGAATAATCATTTTCTCAAATTTTAGGAACACCCCTAAAGCCCAATATAATACCCTAATTGCTCTTAATTACTAACTAACTAATAACTTGTTATTAACCACTAATCTACTAACAATCAATAGAATTGGCTTAAGCAAATGCTTAATTTTTTTGAACTTAAGCACAGAAAGTTAGACCCAAAGTAACCTATGACATATGAGACTTTCCTCTATTACGATATATATACGGGAACGGATAAGGTCAGTAATCATGAGTAACCTGTCCACATCAGCATGATATCAGCATCCCTCTTTCTCTTGGAAAGTCTTTAATTTTCCTCTCATTAATCTTTAAGGGATGATTTCTCACTTGTTTTAAGTCGAAATTAAATTTTTTTTTGCACAGTTAGATCAAATTAATTGTGCTCTTCAAAATGATATCTACTTTGATATATTTTTCGAACAAAAAAAAAATAGAGCCATTTTTTACCATTCTATACCATATGGTATTGACTGGTATTGAAATAAGAGCATACCTATGGTTTGAAAAGCTTACCATGTTGGTATGAACAAACCAAGAATGTAGGATGGTTGAATACATGATAGTAGAAGTATATTAACTATCATTTACGACTTTTAATATTGTGTACCATAAGATACCACCCCGTACCAGGGTGGTATTGTGAGGTATTTTTTGGTCCTGTAATTTGTTCACCCAAAATTTTGTAGATCCAATAGATCATGATGAATTCGTTCCTTCTGTGCAAACGTTTTGAAAAACGAATTAAAAACGAAGAAGATACCATATGGTATGCAGTTGGTATGGAGAGGCAAGAAAAAAAATTTCTCAAAAAATATTGAAAATGGATATAATTTTGTTGAGCACAACGAACTCGTTCTATCTGTGCAAAAAAAAAAAAAAAGGGAGTTATAACGAAGATATGTGCCGATTATGAAAGTTAGGAAAAATGAAAATGACTTTTAATTCTCCATCCTTAGATCTGAATTCTTTAAATGAATAGTCCAGATTTAGTTATTGATGGTTGCATAACCCATAGTTATCCAACCTATTTTGAGGCTATACATAGCCATTATGAGTTTTCTTACTGGCCGGTGACATTTTTCTCCTTTCCTTAAAAAAAAAAAACAAAACTCAGAAAAAGAACCAATTTATTTTGAAATAACAGTCAAATTATACTATCTTTTCACAACTTTTTTAAATGCATATAGTTTTCAGGAGAAAAAAAAAAGTGTAGCTAAAGCCGATCATGGACAGGGTCTTTTATTGACTCCATCTGCTTCAAAGCCCACCACACCTCATCACTACTGACCGACTTGAACGGCATCTCATTAGTTTCCAACTTCACATGCCGCCGTGATTATTATTATGATTATTACCAATTCTCTCTCCATTTTTTTTATGTTGGCGCCCGATACCTCCATTTATACAAAGTGATTTCAATGCAATTATTCTTGCAAACACCTCCTAATACTCTCTCTCTCTGTCTCTCTCATAAATTATGGCTGATTACAAGCAGCCGCTTCTTCTTCCGGCGACGAAGGACCAATATGACCATGCCGACCAGGACCAGCTGCTTATTCCAAGTAACGGCGCAGGTGACATTCCCCCGATCAGAAACATCCGTGACTTCTCCAGAGAGTTCCTCGCCGAATCCGCCAAGCTCTGGTTCCTGGCGGGCCCCGCCATCTTTACCTCTATCTGTCAGTACTCCCTGGGCGCAGTCACGCAAGTCTTCGCCGGCCACGTCGGCACCCTCGAGCTCGCCGCCGTCTCCGTCGAAAACTCTGTCATCGCCGGATTCTCCTTAGGCACCATGGTATTGGTTGTGATCCTGTTTGACAAAGACTAGCTTTCCAAATTCAAGCCTCATTTTTTAGTGAAAATCTCGAATTTAAACCACCAAAGGGGCGGTGGACGTAGTAAAGGCACAGAATTGTGTTCAAGAGATCATAGGTTAGATCTTTAGATCGCTACTTCTGTGTTATTTATTTAGTGCTCACAAAAAAGAAAGCAGTGGATCTAGATTGAAATTAGGAGGGCTCGTAGTCGATTCAATTCTGAATTACAGGTAAAATTATGCTTAAATTTTGTACAAATGTAAGAAATTAAGACAATTCAAATTATCCTCTCTCATTTGAATTTTTTGGCTCCACTACTGCAGACAGAGCTATGTATTTTAATCAAGCATTTCTGTAGTAGCGTGAGGTTTGCCGTCGCAACATGAATTTATCCTTTTGTTTTTTTTTTTTTTTTTTAAGTTATGATTTGGTTTTATAATCCAGCTGGGCATGGGAAGCGCCTTGGAGACACTATGCGGGCAAGCCTACGGAGCAGGACAGCTGGACATGCTAGGAGTCTACCTGCAACGCTCGTGGGTCATCCTCCTTGCCACGTCATCACTCCTCAGCCTGATGTACATCTTCGCCGCCCCGTTCCTCTTCCTGATCGGCCAGACCGCGTCCATCTCACGTGCCGCCGGCTTCTTTTCCATCTGGATGCTCCCACAGCTCTTCGCCTACGCAATAAACTTCCCGATGGCCAAGTTCTTGCAGGCGCAGAGCAAGATGGCGGTTATGGCCGGGATCGCGGCGGCGGCACTGGTATTTCATGCCGCCTTCAGCTGGCTGCTGATGCTGAAGCTGGGGTGGGGGCTCGCCGGTGCGGCGGTGGTGCTGAACGCGTCGTGGTGGTTCATCAACGCGTCGCAGTTCGTGTACATTGTCGGCGGGATGTGCGGGAGGGCTTGGAGCGGGTTCACGTGGCAGGCGTTCCACAATCTGTGGGGCTTTGTTAGATTGTCGCTTGCGTCGGCGGTTATGGTTTGGTAAGTCAACTACCGTTTCACTTTCCAACTAGGGATTTCACCGTATATATATAACCACGTCACAAGTGCAAGTATTCATATTATTATAGGGATTTGATCCTATTATTATTATATTAATCATATTTGTGCTATATACTGCATTATTATTTTTGAAGATAATATATATGTGGTAATGCTAAACAATGTTGGTTAGCGCCCTTCAGCATTAAAATTGTGTAGCTAGCAGTATAGCCTTTTTTAATATGGCCCGCCATACTTATGTTTTTATTGAGATATATTTTTGGGTGTGTAATTAATAGATAGGTAGCAGGAGGAGGAATTAAAATGGGAGATGGGCTTGCTATCAGAGGGTTGTCCCATTGCTTTCATTCATTAATTAACGTGTACATATGTTGGCTTCTTCATTATCCCGAGTGACATCCGGGGTACTGCATACCTTGAATATGAAAACACTATATAGATTTCGAATTAGCAGGATTTTTTGGCATGATACTATACCCTAACTCTTGCCATACATATATATATATGGTGACTACTTCGGTGCACTCACAAAAATGGGTGCGTTCAATGTACCCAACTCAAAAACTAGTCTTAAGGTGTCAGATGTTGAATTTTAATTTGTAGAATCAGTGTAATATGATGATATAACATATGATAACAACTAATTAGCCGATTACCCTAAGCCTTAGACCTCCAATTTTGAGTTCTATCCCTAAACCCCAAATTGTAAACCCTAACCCTAATCCTAAATATCTAAACTCTAAATCCTTCAAATTAAAGTAAATCTTCAATGGTTTTTGTGTAAATTCATGTGCGTTATTGTTCATCACATCATAAGTGATGATTGACATCATTTTTACATAAATCGCATGTTTAAAATGATGGTTATGAAGCGAGTGCACTGAACGCACCCAAAAAAGTGAGTGCACCGAACCACCCATCCATATATATATATATATTGATGGGTGGTTCGAATCATTAAGTAGAGTCTTACCTATTTTATATATATATATATATATACATGCTAGCGTATGCTCGTTCGAGTTTTGCTATTTAGATCATGAATTAACCGGAGTTTTGAGCATGATACTATAACCTAACCACTAATGGATAAACCCCAATCCTTAGTTTTCTAACCGAAATCATGAGATTCGTTTAATCTTAAAATGAAAATCAACAATAATTTCTACGAATCAGAACCGTTGATTTTCATTTCAAGATTAAATTAATATTATGCTTTGAGTTAGTGAATTGCAGAATGGGGGTCACCCAGCAGGGGTTAGGGTATAATATCATGCCCCAAACTCTGGTTAATTCATTGTCTAAATAGCAAAACTCCACGGGCGTACGGTAAGCTAGGGTACGTCCGGCGTACGCTAGCCTTTGCCATATATATATATATATATATATATATATATATATATATGGTCTTACATGGTAGTTTGGATAAAATCTAGGGTACGATATATCTTTATCTTCAGTGCATGATACTATACCTTTTAGCTGGATGATACCTATAAGAAAATGATATCTAGACCTTTTAGCTGGATGTCGTGGCATGATACTATACCTTTTAGCTCTTAATTAGCTAACCCTATGTCTTATTGATCTAAATCACATACCCTAAACCCAAAAAATTTGCATGTAATTTATTGCACATATTTCGGCGAATCATGACCGTCGAAAGTTGTTTCTAATTAAATTCACCTTAGTGTATGAAATTTATAGAACTAAGAGCTATATTTTAATAGTAATTAAGGGTTAGGATATAGTACCATGTCCCAAAACTTCGGTCAATTCATGGTCTAGGTATCATTATCTTCAGAGCAGTTACTTTTTTGGTGCACTTCATGCACTTGCCTCATAAATGTCATTTCGAGCATGCGCTTCATGTCGAACAGTATCGATCCTCACTTATGATATGATGAACAAGAAACACATGAATTTGTAAAAAACTCATTCAAGATTTACTTTAATTTGAAGGATTGAGTGTTAGGGTTTATAATTTGAGGTTTTGGATTTGTGTTCGATTGATTAATTGTGACCATTGTCTGCACTTATTTTTGTGGGTGCATTGAAGTAGCCATCACCATATATATATATATAAATATATATGTCAGCAATGAGATTGAAATTAAATAATATAGTAGCATGCATGCAATTTGTAAATCTCCTTTTCCAGTTGAGTTACGACATATGCATGTAATTCGTATATCCCTTTTACTTTCTTTTTTTATTTGATAACATCCCCTTTACTTTCTGAAAAGGTCGAAAAAGTGGTATACTGAAAAGTGCTGCAGAAACAATATGATGTTTTTTTTTTTTTTTTTTGAAAAGAGAAACAATATGATGGCTACTATGTATTTACTACCTTTTAGAATAAAGGTGGATCAGTGAATGGAAAAAGCATAACGATCATAATGACAACTAATTAATTATTAAGTTTGAATAAGGCAAGTCATGCTTGCTGGCTGTTGGTTTGGTTGCAATTATTAAATCCTTTAGATCGAGTACTTAACCAGACTTGGATTAGTAAGGAAACAAACCACATGATTAATTAGCAGGCACGTGGAATCATCAATGCCGCTAGCTATCTTGAAGATCGAATGTTTTGCCTTAATTAATTAGTGTATATGTGTGTGCATGGTACGTATAATAATTAAACGCAAACGGGAATAATGAGTACTAATTACGTCTGTTGGGTGCAGCTTGGAGATCTGGTACTTCATGGTATTGATACTGTTTGCTGGCTATCTCAAGGATGCTGAAGTTGCTGTAGCTGCGTTGTCCATCTGGTATGTCCCTCCAAAGATTCATTTTAATTGTTTAATATTACAAAGGGACTGGAACTGGACTGATTATAGATTAGGGTTAGAGATAATGATAAATAAATGAAACGTGCATTTGCTTGGTAGTGGTAATTAAGGTAGTCACAATTAATTGATCACTAACTAATAACAAATAATCTTGCAGCATGAACATTTTGGGATGGACCATCATGGCGGCTTTTGGAATGAATGCAGCAATCAGGTTAATTTCTATATTCCGTCACAATTCAACAATATTCACCTTTCCGACGGATGAAAATTGTATCCTTTGATTATGATTTATAAGGTATACGAAATTCATTGCTCCCTCCCTTCTATTTTCCAGTGTTAGAATTTCCAACGAACTTGGAGCGGGTCATCCAAGAACGGCGAAATTCGCACTCATCGTTTCAGTGATATCGGCTTTTATGGTCGGGGTCGCCCTTGCACTCGTTCTCATCTTCACCAAAGATTATTACCCATCTCTCTTCTCCAATAATTTGGCAGTAAAGCAGGTCGTCACGGATATGACTTCTTTGCTAGCTTTGTGCATTGTCATTAACAACGTCCAACCCGTCCTCTCCGGTAAATTTTAATCGATCAATCAATACCACATTATTTATTTCAGAACTTGCAGTAACTAATTATTTGTGGAAAGAAAAACATAGGTGTGGCAATTGGGGCTGGATGGCAAGCAGCTGTGGCCTATGTGAACATAGGGTGCTACTATTTGTTTGGGATTCCGTTGGGCTTGATTCTGGGCTATAAATTTCATATGGGCATAACAGTAAGTATCATATCATCATTCCTTAATCTAAAGTAGCTAGATATGCTTTTCACCAATTTGGCTATCTTCCTCACAAGTCACAACCCATCTATGAGAAGGATCTCATGGGTGTAAATGGACTACGAGGAGAACAGCAAAATCTGATTTTCAGAACTAATTTGATTTGCTAACATTGATCCTCTTGAAAAAAAAAATTGTATGGCAGGGGATCTGGTTAGGCATGATGGCAGGAACGGTGGTGCAAACACTTGTTCTTTACTGGATCATCTACCAAACTAATTGGAATAAGGAGGTAATTATAATTCATTACAAATTGTTTTGTTATTCAGCTGCTACGTACATGCATTGAAATTACTCCGCTAAGAGACTTAAATAAAAGGGTACACAATGGATCATTTATGTTGGGTAATAATGATGTTCAACTTTTTTCAGGCTTCTATTGCCGGAGATCGGATAAAGAAATGGGGAGGAGACGACTGTCCCAAAGAGATCGATCACTAATCAACGATGCGGATTTTTGCGCAAACCAAATGTTCAATAACGTATTAGGCTTCAATTTTGGTCCTTATTTGGAGATCTATATGCTTGATCTTTAGAGTGTGTTTGATTTTCTTCTTCTCTTTTTAAATTGAAAAACCTCATCCGCCTCATGTCAATTCTTTTCATGAATTGATACCAGGTAGTATTAGAAAAACATATACAATTAATGGAATGTGTAACTCAGTCATTTTATTTGGAATGATATTTGTCCTTCACTATGAAATTGTTGGTTGTCCTTCACATAAATAATTTTATTAATGTCATCTTCATATTTTTGTAGTCGTGCCACAATAGAAGTAAACTGCAATACGACATGAATAAGTCTTCTACTAGCAATACTAATAATCTATCGTGAAAACGAAAATTCACTTCTCAAGGGTAACAAAGTTTTATAATAATTAACTAAGGGTTAATTGCATGGTTGGTCACTGAGATTACAAAAAACATTCACGTTTGGTCACTGGAAATATTTAAATCCAATCTTGGTCACTCAAATTATTTAAATGGTTCAAGTTTGGTCACTCTCCGTCCATTTCCGTTAACTCTAGCTTACGTGGCAGTCAACTTTCATAGTTGACCGTTAAATATGTGACGTGGCAATTAAAAAATTATTAAAAATAAAAAAAATAATCTTTTACATTTTCCACCTCATTATTACATTAATTAAAAAAAAATTGGCTGGAAGACCTCTCGCATCTCACCTTGCCTCCCAGTACAGCTCCCGCGCCTCCATCTGCTCCTTCGTCCCCACTACCTTCGTACATCTCTCCAGCACCAGCGGCACCACCAGCTCCACCTCCATCTCCGTCGTCGCATCATCAGAAACCTTAATTCCCATCTCCTTCTCGATAATCTCCTCCTCCCTCACAATCAAAGCGTAAACAGCGCCCATCCTCGAGACCGAGATGATCCACAGCCCAGGCCTGTCGTCTCCAGGCCACAGAGCTAGGTGATTGTCCCCGGAGAACTCCAACCTCCCGTCGGAGTTTTCGAACATTGCATCCTGAAATCCGTACAATTGATCGCTGAAATCGGCCATCGTCATCAACAAAAACACCGCCAAAACTCTCCTCGACACCAAAATCTCCTCTCCAGTCTTGATATGCTTCACCTTCACCCCTTCCATGGGCAAAATCGAGTTCATTTTCACCCTCCATGCCTCCACTGCATCGAATTCCCCCTTCTCCTTCTTCGCCTTCCCCAGGGAAATCTCCGATTGGGAAAGATGTTCCCACCAGCAGCAGCTGCAGCCTCTTGTTCTGCTAGCACCTCCGGTGCATACCAGATTGCCGGATCGATTGCATCTGAGCTCGAAGAAGCATGCCTCAGAGGTTGACTTTCAACTCTCGCGAGTCCAAAGCCTGAAAATTTGACGAAGAAATAACCCTCTGTGGATTTCCTTAGCTTGAGCAATATGTTGCTGATGTTCAAATCTCCATGGTAGATCTTCTTCGAATGGAGATACTCCATCCCTCTAGCTACCTGAAGCATGATATCCACAACAATGGGGAGAGGCAAAAGAACCCTTTTCCTCGCACTGCTGTTCTCCTTCATGTAAGAATACAAATCCTTGCTCATCAACTCCATTACTAAAAAGCATTCTTTTTTCTCCGCGTCATAGAATCCACAGAAGTACTAGACTTTGTTTTTTAATTAATGTAACAATGAGGTGAAAAATGTAAAAGATTTTTTTTCATTTTTAATAATTTTTTAATTGCCACGTCACATATTTAACGGTCAACTATGAAAGCTGACTGCCACGTAAGCTAGAGTTAACAGAAATGGACGGAGAGTGACCAAACTTGAACCATTTAAATAATTTGAGTGACCAAGATTGGATTTAAATATTTTCAGTGACCAAACGTGAACGTTTTTTGTAATCTCCGTGACCAACCATGCAATTAACCCAATTAACTAATTAATCCAAAAAGTAGATAAAGATGAATTCTGAACTCGTGAGCGGCCAAAGAAATTTTATCATCTACATCTTGCAAATGTGTAGTGGTTATAGTGCTAACAACCAATTTGTTAGAATAGTTCTACACTACTTTCAGACAATAATAATATTATATTGTGATTAGTTTCTTATTTTAAAGGGGTGACCATAATTAATTGAATTTATGAAAGGAAGGACATACTTGTCATTATTAAAAATAAGGGACACACGCATGTGGTATTGTTTCGTTCCGCCCTCACAACAAGTATCCCGAAGTAAAGCACATAACATAGACAATAAATGTTATATACCACACAAAAAATAAACTAAAGTAGACCAGAAAGCTTATAAAAAAAAACAAAATATCACCACCAAAAAATTCGTAAAGCATACCAATAACCTCAAAGCATCCCACAAGTTCTTAAAGTAGACCTGAAACATTAAAAAGTAGCCTACAAATTTCTTAAAGCAAACAAGAAGCTTCATAAAGCAGACCACAAGTTCTAGAAAGCACACAAGAAACCTCATAAAATATATCAGAAGTATACTTCAAGTTTCTTACAACATATCACAAGTTTATTTAAACATACCATAAGTTTCTTAAATCATACTAGAAACCTCATATAAAACATACAAGTTCCATGAATCAGACCAGAAACCTCATCAAGCAAACCAATTTACTAAAGCGCACCATTAGTTTCTTAAACCAGACCAGCAAACTCATAAAGCAAACGACAAGTTTTCTAAAGCAAAATATAACCTCATGAAGTACACCACAAGTTTATTAAAGCAAACCACAAGTATATTTCTTAAATGATTCGGGATAGATTACACACATTTATATCCCTTGCCCCGTGAGTTCCAAGCTAGTATGACATCAGTCCAATGCCAGTCATCTCAAACTTTCAAACCATCATCTTCTTGAAATCTTCAAATATTTTATGATTATTGCCCGTGAAGATGAGATCATCTACATACAAACAAATCAATAAGATTGCTCCCCCTTGCACCTAACAGTGTATTGCATGCTCATGTTGGCATTTATTGAGTTCGTTCTGCTGAAAGTACTTGCCAGTCCTGCTATTCCAAATTCTCGGTGCTTGTTTCAGACTATACAATGCGTTTTCTAGTTTTAACACCTTGTCATCTTCACTTTCAACAACATATCCAGGAGGTTGTTCCACACACACACACACACACACACACACACACAGATATATATATATATATTTCTCGAGATATTCATTCAGCAAAGCTAACTTCACATCCATCTGGTGTATTTTCCACCATTTTGAGCAGCGAAAGATATCATTATCCTGATACTTTTCATTCTCACAACGGGGGGAAAATACTTAATTATGTCAATGCATATTCTCTCACTATATCCTTTAGCCACCAATCTTGCTTTGTGTCTAAAAATTTCTCCTTTTATATTCTTCTTTGCTTTAAATATCCACTTCACTCCAATGGGCTTTTGGTTCTTAGGAAGTGACACAAGCTTCCAAGCCGTGTTCTTCTCAATTGTTTGAATTTCTTCATTCATGGCTTCTTCAATATCTACTGGTTCATTATCAATGAAATGACAGTAGAGTGTCAATTCATCACCTTCAATGGTTTTCGTTTCCTCGTAAATTTGTTCAAGTCTTACATGCTTCTGCGGCGTTTTCCAGTCACTTTCACTTGAACTTCCTTCTAGGCTGACAGGCTCTTTATGACTGGATGGACTTGATAGAAGTATATCTGTATCTGGTTCATCATCACCTTCATCCATAGTGAATGGATAAAAAGTATACTTCTTCTGTCCTTCAGCAATATAGTCCCATGTTTCTTCTTCATGAACTACCACATCTCTAGTGATGATCACCTTTTCTTCCACAGGATCAAATATCTTGTACCCCTTAGAATGTCCAGAGTATACAGGGAATAAGTACTTATTGCTTTTATCATCCAAATTCATCCTTTCTTGATCTGGTACATGCACATATCCCACATTTTCAAAAACTCGAAGATGAGAGACTATGGTTTTCCTTCCGCTCCATGTTTCTTGGGGTGTTTGATTCAAAACACTCTTTGTTGGTGATCTATTCAGTAGGTAGACTGCATAATCAACAGGCTGAACCCATAGCTCCTTTGGCAGATTCTTGCTTTTCAACATGTTTCTCACCATGTTGAGTACAGTTCTTTTCTTCCTTTCAACAACTCCATTCTACTGTGGGGATCTTGGGACTAGAAGAAACCTAAAAAAAATTCTTTGATATTCACAGAACCTTCTAAACTTCTTTAGCATAAATCCCCCACCCCCTCTATCAAATCTCGTGGCTTTGATGTAACGGCCACTTTCATTCTCCACGAGCATCTTGAACTTCTTGAAAGCTTCGAATGTATTTGACTTCTACTTGAAGAAATAAACTCATGTCTTTCTATCATAGTCATCAAAGAATAGTAGGAAGTATTTGTTATTTCCAAACAATGTTGGAGTGATCGGTCCACAGAGATCAGCATGGACAAGCTTAAATGGTATTTTAGCTCTTGACAAGGATTCCTTCGAGAAACGTTTCCTCAGTTGCTTCTCCACTAAGCATCCTTCACACAATTGATCAAAATTATTAATCACGGACAAACCATGAACCATCTTCTTCTGAAAAATAACTTTAGGCCTCCAATATTTCAATGACCAAATCTCAGATGCCATACCACGTAGTGTCCTTCACACAGTCTTTCAGACACTTCACTGGTTCAACTTGAATGTTCATGTAACACCCCAATATTTGGGTCTTGGTTCGACCGAACTGTTGGATCGACAATCACGTAAAAAGAGATGCAACCTTGGATTAAAAAAAACAATAATAATAATAATTATTATTAAAATCATTAATCCACATGTCTCCCCCACCTTAAACAAAATGGAAAGAAAAAAAATAATAAGTAAAGGAAAAACCCATTACTCGCTATGGAGGTAAGGAGACGCGATTCCCTTTGGATTAAATTGAGTTTGGTGTGATTTTTCGTGTGTTTGCAAATTTGGGTATTTAGTGTCTGGTTTTACAAGATTTTGGTGACAGAGATTAGGTAGTCACTAAAGCTGCCGAATTTTCAAAATAGTAATTTTTGGCAATTTTATTTATTCGAAACCTCTGTAGGCTCAGAACTTTTAGTTTGATAATTTTTAAAAATGGAGGAATGTCAGTAGAGTCTTATTAATTGATTTGAGAATTTTTATTTGTTAAATACTACTTTTATTAATTGATTAATAGTGTATTTTCATTAAATAAAATGATAAACTTAATTTTCGAAATATTGGATAATTTTTCTAGGAAATAGTAC